TTATGATAGCAATAATTATTATTATTATTATTATGCATTATTATAATAATAATATTATTATTATTATTATTATTATTATTTGTATTGTTAATAATATTATAAATATTATTGTTACTATTATTATTATTATTATTATTGTTGTTGTTGTTGTTAATTTTAGCAGTAGTATTATTGTTGTTGTTATTATTATTAGTAGTAGTATTGTTGTTATTATTATTATTATTATTTTATTATTATTATTATTATTATTATTATTATTATTATTATTATTATTAGAAAGTCCAAACTAATTTTTCTCCAAGTTTGGTTGAAATTACAAAAAAAATACTTTTAAAAAAAGTGATTAACCACTAGGATGATTGTTGTTTTGTACATGCACTGTACACACACAAACACACATGCACATGCAGTATTTGTTTTGATTCGATTGTATGGTTTTGTTTAGTTTGGGTCTGTTTGGTTTTTTAGTTTAGTTAAAAAAAAAAAAATTGTTTTTAGTTTTTTTGTTTAAGCTTTTTGTGTGTGTGTGTGTGTGTGTGTGTGTGTGTGTGTGTGTGTGTGTGTGTGTGTGTGTGTGTGTGTGTGTGTGTGTGTGTGTGTGTGTGTGTTTGGTTTAGTTTTTGTTTGTTTTGTTTTTATTTTTATTTTGTTTTTATTGTTTGATTTAGTTTTTTGTGTGTTTTTTTGTTTTGTTTTGTGTTTTGTGTTTGTTTTGTTTTAAGTTTTGCTTTGTTCTGTTTTTTTGTTTAGTTTTGTATTTTGTGTACTTTTTTGTTTTGTTTTGTTTTTAGTTTAGTTTTGCTTAGTTTTTATTTTTATTTTGTGTTTTGTTTAGTTTTGTTAAGGTTTTAGTTTTATTTTGTTTTGTATAGTTTTTTGTTTTATTTTGTGTTTTGTTTAGTTTTTGTTTTGTTTTTAGTTTTGTTTTGATTTTTATAGTTTTGTTTAGTTTTTGGTTTTGTTTATTTTTTGTTTTGGTGTTTTTTGTGTTTTTGTTTTTTAGTGTTTTTTTTTTGCTTTATTTTTTGGTCTTTTTTGTTTTGTTTGTTAATTTTTTGTTTTGTTTTGATTTCCTTTGTTTTGTTTTTGTTTAATTCTGTCATTTGTTTACTTTTTTGTTTTAGTTTATCAATGTGGCAATGTGGTGAATTGGAGTGGATGTTACACATCAGCTGTCAGCATCAGCTAAAAGTGCATTTTGATATTATTCTTAAACTCTCATAATAATAATAATAATAATAATAGTAATATATTATTATTATTATTATTATTATTATTATTATATTCTGCCTATACTTAAGACATGATTATTGCTCTTCTCCTCTGGTCTCCAGCACCGCTGCTGGATCGCTGTTCAGGTGCTGTATTTCAAACTTTATTTGTCAGGTGTATGTGTGTGTGCGTCTCTCTCTCTCTCTCTCTCTCTCTCTCTCTCTCTCTCTCTCTCTCTCTTTCTGTGTGAGTGTTTGTTTTTTGTTTTATTTTGTTTTGTTTAATTTTTGTTTAGTTTTTTGTTTTATTTTGTGTTTTGTTTAGTTTTTGTTTAGTTCTTTGTTTAGTTGTTTGTTTAGTTTTAGTATTGTTTTGTTTGTAGTTTTATTTTGATTTCTATTGTTTTGTTTTGTTTTTAGTTTTGTTTTGGTGTTTTTTGTGTTTTTGTTTTTTAGTGTGTTTTTTTTTGTCTTTTTTTGTGAGTAAGCATTAAAGTCCTGCATGTGTGTATTTGTGTACACGTGTGTACATCTGCGTGTGTGCGCATCTATGTGTGTATCTTTGCGCTAGTGAGTGTATCTGTGCGCTATTGTGTCTGTGCACGAGTGTGTCCTTGCACGCGCGTGTGCATCTGTGTGTTTTTATGCATGTGTATGTGCAAATGTGTGTCTGTGTGTGCATCTGTGTGTCTCTGTGTGAGCAAGCATTAAAGTCCTGCATGTTTTTACTCATCCAGCTGGTACGTGTGTGTGTGTCAGGAAGATTAAACTCTGTCTGGTCATTTCTGGACTCTTGTAGTGTCTAGCAGCCATATGGTGACACGAGGAGAGAAGCACACACACACACACACACACACACACAAACACGTCGATCACATAGAAGGATTGTGTGAAAAACCCAAAAACAGCCCAAAACTCACACACACACGTAGGCGAGTGTGCTCCATCTGTCAGATACAGCACGTTCAGCAGCCCGTAATCCAGCTGGAGCAGCCTGCATTAATGCTCATGGGTTTGGGTTTGGCAAACAAGACAAATTCAGGTCAAAACGCTAATCTTTAGTGGAATCATAATCTTCACAAGTGCAGACTCGCATTTATTTCTCATGACAGACACACATGTGCTCATTTTACACTCCTTACTGCAGTGTGCTGTGGCTTTTATTTTACTGCACTTAGTAAAACTTTTATTACTAATTACTATTATTTTTATGTTGTTCCAGCCCTCTCGTGTTAAACTATTACAATTCAGTACTCACCGGCCACTTTATTAGGTAACTGCTCGGTAATGGACATTTCTAATCAGCCAATCACAGCAGCAAGTCGATGCATTTCGACATGTAGACATGGTCAAGAGGATCTGCTGCAGTTCAATCGAGCATCAGAATGGGGAAGAAAGGGGATTTAAGAGACTTTGAACGTGGCATGGTTGTTGCTGCCAGACGGGCTGCTCTGAGTATTTCAGAAACTGCTGATCCACTGCTATTTTCACACACAACCATCTCTAGGGTTTACAGAGAATGCTCCGACAAAGAGGAAATATCCAGTGAGCGGCAGTTCTGTGGGCGCAAATGCCTTGTTGATGAGGCCAGAGTTCAGAGGAGAATGGCCAGACTGGTTCCAGCTAATAGAAAGGCAACAGTAACTCAAATAAGCACTCGTTACAACCGAGCTCTGCAGAAGAGCATCTCTGAACACACAACACGGCCAACCTTGAGGCGGATGAGCTACAGCAGCAGAAGAGCACACCGGGTGCCGCTCCTGTCAGCTAAGAACAGGAAACTGAGGCTACAATTCACACAGACTCACCAAAACTGGACAATAGAAGATTGGAGAAACGTTGCTGCTCTGAGTCTCCATTTCTGCTGACACATTCAGATGCTCGGCTCACAATTTGGCCTCAACAACATGAAAGCATGGATCATGCTGCCTTGTATCAGCGGTTCAGGCTGGTGGTGGTGGTGTAATGGTGTGGGGGAGATTTTCTTTGGGTCTATTTGTACCAATTGAGCATCAACGCCACAGCCTACCTGAGTATTGCTGCTGACCATGTCCATCCCTTTATGAGCACAGTGTCTCCATCTTCTGATGGCTACTTCCAGCAGGATAACGCAGCATGTCATAAAGCTCAATCATCTCAGACTGGTGTCTTGAACATGACGATGAGTTCACTGTACTCAAATGGCCTCCACAGTCACCAGAGCTCAATCCAATAGAGCAGCTTTGGGATGTGGTGGAACGGGAGATTGGCATCATGGATGTGCAGTCGACAAATCTGCAGCAACTGTGTGATGCTATCATGACAATATGGAGCAAAATCTCTGAGGAATATTTCCAGTAGCTTGTTGAATCTCTGCCATGAAGGATTAAAGCAGTTCTGAAGGCAAAAGGGGTCCAACCAGGTACTAGTAAGGTGTACCTAATAAAGTGGCCAGTATATCGGTTGCAAATGAAATGTTAAACTAGTACAATAAAATGTGTATATTTTTGCATATCTTCTCCTAACTTATCTTACTTAAGTATACG